GTTGAAACTGAAGCCTCTCGGTGGCTTCTTCGGGCACTCTTGGGACCAAACCGGGTCGTGGACAAGACGCCTCTTTGGGAGGCTTCTTGAGGTGTCCTGTCAAGCCTCTCGGCGGCCGCTTGGAAGTACTTTTGGGACCTCCTGGGGCATTTTGGGGCCTTTTGGGGGGGTCTTTGGTGCCTCCGGGGGCTTCTTGGGGGGCTCTTGAGGGCTTCTTGGGGACCTGCTGGCGTTTGCGAGGGCCATCTTTCGGGGAAGGGCTCGACATGGCAGTTGGGAATCTTGGGCACCTCTGGAACCCTCTTGGGAGCCTCTGGAACTCTCTTGGGATGCCTGTTTTGCCGTCTTGGGGCCCTCTTGGGCCGTCTTGGCTCCCTCCTGGGAGCCTCTTGGTCTGCTGATTTGCGGCGATCTTGTGGGCCTGTTGAGCCGTCTCGGGCGGTCGGAGGCCCGAAAGGGCGGTGGCGCCAAAATCCGTCCAGCACCGCCGCAAAATCCAAGCAATTCAGCCTCTGGGGCCATCTTGGGGCGATCATGAGGCCTTCTGTGATCGTTTCCGGGACATCCTTAGGCCTGCCACTTATTGATCCTTATCCTTGGGCCCTCTTGGAGCTCCCTTAGGGTCCCTTGGAGCGCTCCTGAGGCGATCCTGAGGGTTCCGAAGACCGCCCCCAAGAGCTCTGGCATCCGTGACACCGACCGCCCGGGACCTGCCCGGGGACCGTCCCGGGTATTTGTGGTCCGGGGGCCAGCAGGGCCAACACGCTGGCGCGAATTAGATGTACAATTCACTTGTTACCAGAGGTCAGCACGCCTTTGGCCCGTTGGGCTGGCGAATTTTCATTGCGGGAAGTGCCCCGTTGGAAGAACACCCTCTGGTAAGGTTCATTCGTGCCAAAGCACAATCCTTGTCACGTCAACGCCGCGAATTAATGTGACTGTTGCGTGCTGACAATTCTAGAACGTGCCAGAACCTTCCCTTGGACTTGCACACCGGGAGTCAGCGCGACTCTGTTTGTCTTGACAAGCCTACATCGTGCCAGAACACCTTTTCTAGTTCAACCATGCAAATCCTTGGAAAAGCTGCGAACTTTTAAGACGAAGGTGCGCGGCGCTAAGGCGAGAGCCATGGTTCTAAACGACCTGTCCTCCGTCCTTGAAGCTGTTGCGAACTTTTGTGCCGAAGATGCACGTCGCTAAGGCGAGAGCCACATTTTGAAAAGGACCCGCCCTCTATCGTTGAAGCTGTTGCATATTATAAGCGTCATGATCATAAATGGTGAGGAAGTCTCGGGCGGAATGCCGCGACAGGGAGGAGTTACAGTGGAGACCCATGCCACCCTGCTTGCCTCCAGGGTGCCCTAGGCTTCTTGCGTTCCGATGGTTTTGCTATGTAAAGCGTGATGTTCCCACACCAGAAATCAATGGACGTCCTGGGGTCTCAGGGTTGGGTTTCTTGTGGAATGCTTCTCGTGGTCTGGCCTTCCTGCAACTATAGGGAACAGGGACGGAGGAGAAGGAGGAGGAGGAGGAGGAGGAGGAGGAGGAGGAGGAGGATGCGGCGAGCAAGCACCGGAGCTGACCGGCAGAAGCATACGGAGGGCCCCGCCCGCCTGCACACCATCCGTGCTAGGAGCGCACCTCCGTGGTGGCGGCAGTGCCCAGGTCGGCCAGGGCGAGCCTCGGGCCCGGCCCATGCCCTCGAGCAGGCGCCGCAGCGCGTCGAGGTCGATGCGGTCGCAGGCGAGGGCGTCGCCAGGGCGCCACGACGGCAGCGCTAGGGGCCGTCTTGGGCTCCTCGGGGACCCCAAAAGGCCATTCGAGCCCGGGTTGGCGCGCCTCGCCCCTCCCCTGGAACCCCTCCTTTAATAGGGGAACAGAAAGTGGCATAAACATAAAAACTCGGAGGTCCGCGCGGACCTCCGAGTTTTGATGTTTATGCCATTTTCTGTTTCCCTAGCTAGGGCCAGGAGAGGAAAGAACACACAGACCGACCCCCACTGCGATCCCTACAGCGAGCGGCTTGAATAAGGAGCACACTTTGCAAAAGGGGCTAGGTCGTTCCCTAGGTTATCATGCGTTATGTATCATTCCTTATGCCTTATTGAATCGCTTCGCTCATTCCGCCGGCCCATACGGTCTCATGTCTGCCGTTTGCCCGAGGGCCTGGTGTCAATGCGGCGCTTTGGGGGTTCCTGGGGCCGCGCTTGTGGGGCTCCTGGCGGCGCTCGGGGGGCATTGGGGGGCTCCTGGGACGCTTGGGGGACCTCTGGGGCCTCTCTGAGGGCCTCGTGGGGGCCTCTTGGGGCCTCTTAGGGGCCTCTTGGGGCCTCGTAGGGGCTTCTTAGGGCCGAGGGCGCGAAAATTTGTTTCGTGTTCCCTCTCTGGGGCCCCTTTGGGGGTGTTCTTGGGGCCCTCTTGGACCGTCTTGGAGGCTTCTTGGGCCGTCTTCGAGCCCTCTTGGGCCATCTTGGGGCCCTCTTGGGGGCCTCTAGGGCCCTCTTGGGGCGATCTTGGGGGCCTCTGGGGCCGTCTTGGGGCGTCGGGAACCGAAAAGGTGGAAGCTCCAAAATCTTTCAAAAACCTAAGGAAAAACAGTGAATTTTGCCTCCGGGGGCCCTCTTGGGAGTGCTCTGGGAGGCCTCTTGGGGCGTCTGGGGGCTATCTTGGGCGTCTTGGAGCGATCTTGTGGCATGTCGGACCCCTCGTGTACCATCTTTGGGGCCTCTTGGGGGCCTCTTGGCCTTTCCTGGGGCTCTCGGGGACGACTCGGAGCCCTGTTGGTGCGCTCATGGAGCGCTCTGGAGCGCCTGGGGCTATCCCGGGGGACTCTCTCAGGGACCTTGCCGGGGTACTTTTCGGTCCGGGGAGCCCACAGGAAGGCCGCCCCAAGAGCGCTCGCGAACTAGAGAATTCTTAACCAGTTACCGGAGATCTGAGCACGCCTCTGGCCCGTTGGGCCGGCGAATTTATTATTTATCGTTCCTTATGCGTTCCTTGGAACACGGGGACTTCGTTCCTTCTTTCTCGTTCCTCGGGTCAGGCCGATGACTGTGCCGCGCGCTCGTCCGCCGCCGGGTCGAGCGCCGCCGCCGGCGCAGCATCAGCGGGCGCAGCATCCCCTGCCGTCTCCGCCGCCTCCTCGCGAGGGGGGACCGCCGCCTCCTCGCCTCCTCGCGAGGGGGTGCTGCCGCCTCCTCGCGAGGGGGGGCCGCCGCCTCCTCGCCTCCTCGCGAGGGGGGGCTGCCGTCTCCGCCGCCTCCTCGCGAGGGGGGGCCGCCGCCGAGGCAAAGCCCCGAGCGGCCTCGGGGCGTTGGCCCCTCGTCCGCCGTCGAGGGCGGAGCTCACCGCCGCAGCAGCCGCCGCGGCCTGCCCAGGCCTAGAGGGTTCCTCCCAAGGGCTTAGGCGACCCCTTCCTTTTTGTTCCAAACGTACTCTTGATTCTTTGTTGTCTTTTCCATTTTTTTTTCTTTTTTTTTCTCCTCCCTCCTCCGCCTCCTCCTCCTCCTCCTCCTCGTCCTCCTCCTCGTCCTCCTCCTCGTCCTCCTCCTCCTCCTCGTCTTCGTCCTCCTCCCCCTCCTCCTAGTTCCTCTTCTCCTCCTTCCTCCTCCTCCATCCTCCCTCCTCCTCCTTTTTTTTTTCCCTCGTTCTCCTCCTCCTCCTCTCCTCCTCCTCCTCCTCGACCTCCTCCTCCTCCTCCTCCTCCTCCTCCTCCTCCTCCTCCATCTCCTTCCCTTCGCCTCCCTCCTCCTCCTCGAGTCGCCTACGGCCCCAGGGGAAACCCGTGCACCCAGGCCCCGCACCATCATGCGCCCGCCGCTGCCGTTTGGCGCCTCCAGCAGCTTCGCGTCGGGGGCCACGCCCGCCGCTGCAGCGGCAGGCCGCGCAGCTCCGCACGCAGCGCGCCGCGTTTCGCGAGGCGCTGGCGGCGGTGGCGTCGCCGCTCGGCTTCGGCAGCCGCCGCGGCGAACGCCGGCACCCGCGGAGAACGAGTACGCCCTGCGTCGAGCGGCGCCTGCGCAGCCGTCTGCGGCTCGGCACTCCCAGCGCAAAAAGCGCCGCCCAGACCGCCGACCGCGCAGCGGCCACTGTGCGCCGCGGCGCCTGGGCCGCGAGAGCGCCACGCACCGTAGCTTCCGCAAGGCTGCAGGCGCGAGAGCTCCTCTATGCAGCGCCATCCCGAGAACGGCGCGGTCGTGCAACCGCTTGAGCCCACATGCCTATGGAGGAGGAGGAGGAGGAGGAGGAGGAGGAGGAGGAGGAGGGAGGAGGAGGAGGAGGAGGAGGAGAGGGAGGGAGGGAGGAGGGAGGGAGCGGGAGGGAAGGGAGGGCGGGAGGGAGGGAGGGAGGGAGGGAGGGAGGGCGAAGGGGGGGAGGGATGGGGTGGTCGGTCGGACTCAGCATTGCAGCAGTCTGCGCGCCGTTTTGCTGTCGGCCCTCACCCCGAGGGCTTGTTTTGACCGCCACCCTTCTCAGCGACGGGAGGCCCAGCCCTGAGTCCCAGGCGGGAGGGAGGAGGGAGGAGGCGAGGCAGGCAGGGAGGGAGGAGGGGATGGAGGAGGGAGGATGAGAGGCAGGGAGAGGGGGCAGGCAGGTTGCGAGGAGGGGGCCCCCTGCCCTCCGCCCCTTCCCCTCCCCCGCCCCCCGCAGCCACCGCGCAGGTTCTCGCACAACTTCCACGGCCAGCCCGCCGGAGGCCCCCGCGTGCGCCGGCCGACCCCTTTTTGTTTTCGGGCGGCGGCTGGCGGGCAGCGCTTTGCGTTAGTCGCGGAACTTTGTGTCGCAACCGCAGGCGAGAGCGCCAGCGGCGAGTCAGGTCCGAGCGGGCCGCGCAAGAGCCGAATTACCTAACGCCGACGGGCCGGCGACCTCAGGCAGCGCCTTGGTGGGCGGGCCGGCGCGAGGGGGCATGCAGGCTGCAGCTGCCAGGGAACTGGTCCAGGGGAGCGCGCATGTGAATTAGCCAACTGCAGTTGGGGCGCAGCCGAAATGGCGCGAGG